CTTTTATATATGATATGAACCTTTAATCAAACCAAATTAGATTTTCAAAAGATTTTTTTAAAAATAAAATACATATGTATTAATTAATAATATACCCTCTTTGTTATTTTTTTTTCTTTCAAAATACTCTTCAGTTTTTTTTTATTAAATGCTTTATAAAAGTATATTTATATTTCTCATGAAAGTAGAAAGTTATTTATAAAATATATTTTCGGAAGAGTAAAAATATACATTTGAAAAGAATTTTCTAAGAGAGTAAAAATATTTGTTTGGAAAGTACTTTTCAAAAGAATAAATATAATTTCTAAAAGTGATTTTAAGAATATATTTTAAGAGTTAAAATTTGAAAATTACTTTCCATTAATAATAAAAATATATTATTTATGTTAAATAAAAAATAATCTTAAATTTCTCATAATATAAGTTTTAATGTTAATAATTTTGAATATTTTTGTTTAAGAAATGATTTAAGATCATAGAAAGATGAATTTAAATAAATTGGTTACAATGACGTATAGTTTACCAAACAAGCCACTACGTTTGTTTAAGACAAATGCATTAAATATATAATTTATGATGTCCAGTAACCAAATCATTTTTATCTATGTTATTCCTTAAGAAATCGAAAGAATAAAAACTTCTTTGGAACATGAACTTAAAAAACAAATAGAGATATGTTTTTTGTTAGAGAAAGGACAAGTAGATATCTTGAAGTAAGTGAAGTCTCGTATAAATGATTTAGTTTTTACTAACACATGTAACAATTCCTCTCATTTTGTACCTTAAATGTGATAAGTAATCTCCTTATCATATAATATAAGAAGAGACACTTTGATGAAATGCATTTAATGTTCATATTTATTGCACCAACGAACATTTTACTTTATAAGAAAGGAAAACAAAAAAGATGAAACAAGTTTGTGAGACAAACTTAAGGATTTGCAATGAACATCTTCGTAAAACACATGTATAAAGAAGTTTGAAGACTCAAAAATAAGAAAAAGCAATTATTGTAAAAATTTATTTCATTTATTTTATAAATTGATGTATTTAAACTGGTTATATCATGTCTTGTGAGTAAGAGAAACAACAAGTGATTTCTTAGTTTTAACTTTGTGTATTAACTTAAGGTCTACAGAGTCATTCTCACTCTCATACCTCCTCCCTCCCTCTCCCACTACCTCTATCTTCATCCCATATCTATATTTTTCTGTGTCTTTTTTTTGTATCTCATTATTTATTGACTTTATCAATTTTAATAATATTATTAAAGTCTATTTTATTTATACAATATAATGGTATTTGTTAAAACTTATTTATTTATTCGAATGAAATGAAAAAATATATATTTTTATGTTTTTTATTTATCACGTAGCATTTTATTTATTTATTTAAAAAAAATTATTTAAATAATTTTAACTATAAATTTTTAACTTTTCAAAATAGTTCAATGTTATATTTATATTAAGATTTGAGTAGATAAGTACATCTAATGACATTATTTTAATAAAAATATTTTTGTAAAAAGTATTTATATGCCCAAGAATATACTATTATAACCAAACATGAAAATATTAATTTTTTGGAAATCCTATATAAATATTCCCAGGAACCATTATAAATAACCAAACAAATTTTAGCTATTCTCAAGAGTATAAATATTTATAGTATGAAAAAACTTTTTTCTTACCAAAAAGTGTTGAGTTTTGAATTGATACTATTCATTCATCTTTTATTGTCTTTCTTTCTCCATGGTTATTAATTGATCATTCATCGTAAAATCAATGAGTCATATCTTTTGAAATGATGTCTTGAAAAAATCAATAATGTTGTCGTGTCAAAAAATTAAGAGTACAAAATCAAGATTTAAATAATTAATCTCCATATATTAAACACGAACGACTATATATCTTGTGTGTAAGTGTTTTTAAGGTCATTCTTTGATGGGAGTCTTTTAGATATATTTTAAAAAAATTTATCCAATTCAAGATTTTATTTATCATATATATTAATGAATTAAATTTTAATATTTTAAATAAATTATCAATAATTTAAAATAATATCATGTCACAATATAAATTATTTATTTTAAATTTAAAATATAATTTACATATTTTAAAAAATATTTCTACAAATTTTATATAAAATTAATATATTCAAATACAATATTTATTTGTATAAATAATTTATCATAAATTTAAATATTTATAATAAATATTTAACATGTGGAATACACATACTAAAATACTAATAATAAATATGAACAATGAATAATTAATATCTTAATTTTAGGAGAAAAACAATAAATAAAAAAAAGTAAAATAAAAAAAAATACCCAAGAGGAATAAATTGATGAAAAAAGTGGAGAAATAGAGTAATTAATTATTTTTTGAAAAACAAATTTATTTTAATAAATTTAAGTTAAAATATATTTAATTTTTTTTCGACAAAAATAGGTAAAAAAAAATATTATTAAAAAGGGACGTGTATTTTACCTTTTCAAAAAGACATGTTGGCAAAAAAAAAAAAGAGCCTATAATTAGGGGTGAGCAACGGGTGGGTTTGGTCGGGTTCGGGTGAAAAATGTGCAACCCATTGTAAACCGACTTTGAAAAAATGTGACTCATATCCGACCGACTGAGCTTTCGATTTGAGGCGGTTCGGGTTGAAACGGATTCGGATTTAAGCGGGTGGGTATAATCGGGTTTGAATTTTTTTGTAAACCAATTTATCTTAAGGAAGATGAAGCTTAAAACGATAAAAAATATTTTTAAAATAGTGTATAAAAATAGAATGAAGGTGACAATAGATGGTGTAAGTAGATTCGTAGTTGAAACATTTACAAACTAAAGAAGCAAAAATAAAAGATAACAAAATTCATAGTTGTTACATGGAAAAGAAATATAAAGTTAGATTACAAAATCATAAGAAATCACAGTCACACAAAATGTACTCAAAATGGAGATAAGAAGATGGAAAAGAAAGACAAAGAAAGAAGCAAAAAGATAACTCTAAAAATGGACTAGTGTGTTGAGAAGTTGAATGAGGAAGGAGAAGACAAAATAAATATCTAAGTTATGAGAAAAAGGAAAAAAATAAGTTACAAATTGATGGCTATATTATACTTGAAATAAAGATTTTTAAGTTTGGACCATTGTTGTTTAGTTATACAAAAGTAATAAAAATTTAAACTTATCTCATTTTCGGTTGGGTTCGGTTTTTGGCGGGTTTAAAAATTCAAAACCGAACCCGCCCAATATAACCATTATAAAATCAAAATTTTAACCCGATTTACCCATAAGACCCGCCCGAACCCACCCAAAAACAATATTTTTTATCGGGTTTTTCGGGTTCGGTTCAGGTGTCGGTTTAATGCTCACCCCTACCTATAATAGTAGCATGCCAAATGTAGAGCTTGAATTTTTTAAACACGTTAGATTATTTAAACATCATTTAATTAATTTTTATCTTATAATATTACAAATCTTATCTTTTTTTTTCTTATAATTAAAAATTTTATATTTTAATTTGTATATAAACCATATTTTTAGTGTTTACAATTGCATGTATTTTTCCTTTTTATGTCTATAATGAAATGAATTTTCATTTTTAATTCTTACAAAAATAGATGACAAAAATTAAAAGAAAACAAAAGTGATATATAAGAACTAAAATAAAATATTTTAATTATAAAGACATAAGGGGAGACTTTTAATATTTTTTAAACACATTATTATTTAAATAATTTTTAATTTTATTTTTGTTTTTATAACTTTACAATTTTAAAAAAAAAATTATAATTATAAAATTTCTATTTTAGTTAAACTATTTTTTCTTTCTTTTAATCTTTATAATTGTATTCACTTTTCTTTTTATTTTTGTAAACACCAATTTTATTTTATTAATCTTCTCACTATTTTTTTTTTCAAATTTCTCAATTTTCATATTTTATGGAGGGTAATTTAGTAATTTTGCATGTGATTTTAGTATACCAGAACGGGCCGTTCCCTATCTGGAACGGGCCGTTCCAATCTACTAAAAAGCACTATAAATTATAACCCAGAACGGGCCGTTCCAAGATACAAAAAAGACCTATATATTCTACATCAGAACGGGCCGTTCCCAATTTGGAACGGGCCGTTCCAACCATATCCCAGAACGGCCGTTCCGAAAATGGAACGGGCCGTTCCAACCACAGCCGTTCCGGAAAATGGAACGGGCGTTCCCAATATGGCCGTTTTGAGTACAGATACAATCCAGAACGGCCCGTTCCGAGTTCGGAACGGGCCGTTCCGGTCACTGCTGAAAATCTATAAATAGGAGCAAGCGCCTTGGCTTCTCAAAAGGCTCCAGACATCTCGACTTTGGATTTTCTTCCTCTTCTACACTCTCTGAAGACCAGAAGGAATTCAAAGAAAGAGTCTAGCAACTTATCACTTCTTTAGCGAAGAATAGTGAGTAAATTGAACTCACTTCTTTATATTTTCTTTTTATATTAGTAATATCTGTTATTTTACAAAAGATTATTTGAATATAACATTCTATTGTTCCTAGAGCTTAAAGGTGCAATATGATTAAATATCAGAATATAGTGTTACAATATTCAATATAAATATAAAATTTTTATTGATTTTATTAGAAGAATGATTAATTAGATGTGACATTTTTTTAATCTTTAAATTTAAAATACAAGTTGTGACAACTTGATATTTTTAAATCTTTTCTCGAAAAAACAAAAATGTTCAATCAAAAAATCTTTTAAGATAATAATATTTATAACAATAATTATAATTAAAATTTTATTGAGTTGACTTTGGTATATACCTCAATCAATTTTATGTTTTTGGGGATGAATGAGCTGAGATATTTCAAGAATCTTAAATTTAACAAAAATAAAATTTAATTATAAAATATCAACACACAAATATTTTTTACAAATAACAAATAAACCTTGTCGAGCCAAAAAAATAATAATAATATATTTTTGATAAATGCATTAGTTAAATAAAATACATTTGTTTGTTAGAGATTAATTTTAATTAAACTAGGGTAAGATAAATATTTTATAAATAATTTGTTTAATTAATTAAAGATAATCGTCTTAGGATGAACGTTATGAGGTGCTAATACTTTCCTTATACGTAATCGCCTCCTGAACTCAAAAATCTGGTTTTCGTACACTATTTTTACTTTATGGTTTTTTCAATTCTTTTTCATAAAAAATAACATTGGTGACGGTTTCTTATTTTTTTTTTAATTTATTTTTATCATCCCGTTACAATCTCGGTTGCGACAATTTTTATAATTGCATAAGTATTTTTTTTAATTTTATAAAAATAGACCATGAGAGTAAAATAAAACATAAATAATATACAAAAACTAGAATAAAATATTTTATTTACAAAAGTTAAAAGATAAAATTTACGAAAATATAATTAAACTATAAACAAAGAATTTAATGATAATAATAGTTATTAAATCCATTACAAATAATAAATTTGTTGATATTAATTGCTTTAAAATTGTTAAAAATCATTATTTTTTTTAATTGATTGAGTTGTGTATATATACTTGAGTATTATATATGTCTATTGTCTATTAAATTTTTAAACAAAATTAACATATTTTCATTTATAAGTTTTGAGGCACCGTAACATTTACATTATTCAAGCCGATTCGTTCGCAACGACTCCTTCCTTAATCCATCCACAACTTCTACATTCTTTTCTTTCATTCATCTTTGGTGTGGTAATCTCTTAACTATACAATAATAATTATTATTATTATAATTTCTGATTAGGAGATAATCGTGTATAGAAATTAAACACTTCTTTTAAAATATTTTTTTTGATAATCAATCACACACACTAAAACTTTGGCAATAGAGAGTGGAACAGAGAAATATTCACATCAATTATCAATTAATTCATATAATTTTCTAGGCTTTTCTGTAATATTTGCGTGGTTTTAGTTTTAGCCTTTAGGGAATCATAATTGATTTTTAATGTAGGACCATTCTATCTCCCCACCTATGTTAGCTTTTTACGGAAAGATGATGAAAGTCTGTGGTCTGACGGAATAGGGATGAAATTTTTATTTTTTTTTGCCGTCTATGCATTTGACTAGGCTTTGATTTTTATCTTGTTAAGCTAAATCTTTGCTTCTGAATCTTAATACGTATATATGACAGTGAGTCAGTGACTACCTTCCGTGACACCAAGGGTGTATTTAGAGCTAGCCTAAAGTGAAAGTGGAAAGGGGATTTTTGTCCTTTTGGCTATTCATCTCTCTCTATTTGGTTCTCTCTGCAAGGAGGAATAAGTTAGGTTTAACTGAATTTTCATTCTCTAAGCTCTCTTCTGATGAGGTAATAATAGTATATACATCATTGGAATGTTTGTTGTGTTCCACTGTCATTGCATTATTCCACATTTATTGGCTAATCATTATTTACAGAAGTCGACCTCATGTCGGTTAATTGCCCACCTGACAAGCTTAAATATTTTTTATACAAATTTCAATAGTCAGATATGACTATATTACATCAATGTAATAATTTTACATTTGAGTACAATATAAGTTTAATATCCACAGAACAAGTCTAAATCATTAAATGATCATTTCCAAAGCTGATTACTAGAATAAGCTATATAATTAATGACTGCTCATGCTCTAGTCCTCTAGTCCACAGTCATCAAATTCTTTAATAAGATCAAGATAGGCTGTAGAACTTGATTAAGCTACTTTGAGAGATCGTACAAGTAGTTCATGCTTCGTCATCACATTGCTCCTTGCTCCCTGGCTACTAGAAGGAGGCTGAGACTGAGCCGGGGGAGTGGAACTCGAAGGCTGAGACTGAGCTGGGGGAGTGGAACTCGAAGGCAATTTCCAGGTTGACGTAATAATCTTAAAGAATCCACAATCACCATCTCCCTGCCCATACACACATGGACTTAATACAACTCTAAAAACAAACATACTTGAATATAATAGCCCTTAAAATTCTCACCATAACACAACAACACCGAAATTTTATTTTATGTCGAAAGACGGTGCGACAAAAGCCACTTCCACAGGGACTGTGCTTGAGTTCATCCTCAAATGAGTAGAATTTACAATCACTGATGTTATTTTCTTGTCAAATAATAAATGTTAAGATATAACATTTGAATAAAAGTGTACAAAAATTATTTCATGACTTGACTTATCAGAACCAGGGCATGACTTGCCTTATCAGAACCAGGGCATTTGTAATATGGACGAGTCATGTTAGGGCCTTTCGTTGTTACCTTCCTGATTAGATATCCATTCCCGCATGGACATGTAAGCTCAATGATTCTGAAGTTTAGTTTTCAAGCAAATGTCATTGATGAAGAAAGAATAAAGAAACAATTAAATGAACACCTGCATACTGTATATTTTGACTAGAGCATGAACAGTCATTAATTATATGGCCTATTCCAGTAATCAGCTTTGGAAATGATCATTTAATGATTTAGACTTGTTTTGTGGATATTAAATTTATATTGTTCTCAAATGTGAAACTATTACATTGATGTAATATAATCATAACTGACTATTGAAATTTGTATAAAAAAATATCTAGGCTTGTGAGGTGGGCAGTTAACCAACATGAGGTCGACTTCTGTAAATAATGATTAGCCAATAAATATGGAATAATGCAATGACAGTGGAACAAAAAAAACATTCCAATGATGTATATACTATTATTACCTCATCAGAAGAGAGCTTAGGAAATGGAGATTCAGTTAAACCTAACTTATTCCTCCTTGCAGAGAGAACCAAATGGAGAGAGATGAATAGCCAAAATGACAAAAATCCACTTTCCACTTTCACTTTAGGCTAGCTCTAAACACACCCTTGGTGCCACAGAAGGTATTAAGATTCAGAAACAAAGATTTAGCTTAACAAGATAAAAATCAAAGCCCAGTCAAATGCATAGACGACAAAAAATAGAAGAAAAATTTCATCCCTATTCCCTCAAACCACAGACTTTCATCATCTTTCCGTAAAAAGCTAACATAGGTGGGTAGATAGAATGGTCCTACGTTAAAAATCAGTTATGATTCCCTAAAGGCTAAAACTAAAACCACGCAAATATTATAGAAAAGCCTAGAAAATTATATGAATTAATTGATAATTGATGTGAATACTTAACAGCGGCATTAGGAGGCGCTGGAAGCACAGATGAGTCCTTGTAAAATGCAAAACACAATTTCTCTGTTCCACTCTTTATTGCCAAGGTTTTAGTGTGTGTGATTGAATATCAAAAAAATATTTAAAAAGAGGGGTTTAATCTCTATACACGATTATCTTCTAATCAAAAATAATAATAATAATTATTGTATAGTTAAGAGATTATCACGCCAAAGATGAACGAAAGAAAAAAGTGTAGAAGTTGTGGTTAGAATATGGGAAGAGTTTTTGTAGACGAATCAGCTTGAATAATGCAAATGTTGCAGTGCCTCAAAACTTAGAGGTGAAAATATGTTAATTTTGTTTAAGAGTTTAATGGGCATATATAATATTCAAGTATATATACACAACTCAATCAATTAAAAAAAATATGATTTTTAACAATTCTAAAGTAGTTAATATCAACAAATTTATTATTTGTAATGGATTTAATAACTATTATTATCATTAAATTCTTTGTTTATAGTTTAATTATATTTTTGTAAATTTTATCTTTTAACTATTGTAAATAAAATATTTTATTTTAGTTTTTGTATACTATTTATGTTTTATTTTACTCACATGGTCTATTTTTATAAAATTAAAAAAAATGCTTATGCAATTATAAAAATTGTCGCAACCGAGATTGCAACGAGATGACAAAAATAAATTAAAAAAATAAGGAGCCGCCACCAATGTTATTTTTTACGGAAAAACCATAAAGTAGAAAATAGCTTACGAAAACCAAATTTTTGAGTTCAGGAGTCGATTACCTGTGAGGAAGGTATTAGCATTTCACAACGTTCATCATAAGACGATTACCTTTAATTAATTAAACAAATTATTTATAAAATATTTATCTCATCCTAGATTAATTAAAATTAACTGTAACAAACAAATGTATTTTTTAAGTGATTGAGTTGTGTATATATACTTGAGTATTATATATGCCCATTAAACTCTTAAACAAAATTAACATATTTTCACCTCTAAGTTTTGAAGCACTGCAACATTTACATTATTCAAGTTGATTCGTCTGCAACGGCTCCTTCCCTATTCCATCCACAACTTCTACATTTTTTTTCTTTCGTTCATCTTTGGCGTGGTAATCTCTTAACTATATAATAATAATTTTAATTTTTGATTAGGAGATAATTGTGTATAGAGATTAAACCCTTCTTTTTAAATATTTTTTTGATAATCAATCACACACACTAAAACCGTGGCAATAGAGAGTGGAATAGAGAAATTGTATTCTGCATTTTACCAGGACCCATCTTTGCTTCAAACACCTCTTAATGCCGCTGCTAAGTATTCACATCAATTATTAATTAATTCATATAGTTTTCTAGGCTTTTTTGTAATATTTGCGTGGTTTCGGTTTTAGCCTTTAGGGAATCATAACTGATTTTTAACGTAGGACCATTTTATCTACCTACCTATGTTAGCTTTTTACGGAAAGATGATGAAAGTCTGTGGTTTGAGGGAATAAGGATGAAATTTTTCTTCTATTTTTTGCCGTCTATGCATTTTACTGGGCTCTGATTTTTATCTTGTTAAGCTAAATCTTTGCTTCTGAATCTTAATACGTATATATGACAGTGACTACCTTCCGTGGTAGAGCTAGCCTAAAGTGAAAGTGGAAAGGGGATTTTTGTCATTTTGGATATTCATCTCTCTCCATTTGGTTCTCTCCTCAAGGATGAATAAGTTAGGTTTAACTGAATCTCCATTCCCTACGCTCTCTTCTGATGAGGTAATAATAGTATATACATCATTGGAATGTTTTTTGTGTTCCACTGTCATTGCATTATTCCACATTTATTGGCTAATCGATGCACTCTTCCTCTGCTCCACCCCTATCCTAGATGCTGGAATTGGAAAACATCTACAAAGATATGGGAGAAAAACCACTAGATCGGATGCTCTGCCAGGAGATTGCTAAAAATTTTAGGTAAATTAGGTTCTTTCTTTACCATAAATAGGATTTTGTGTTTGTATGTAATGATACTCCATAATTTGATTTGCTTTAATTTTGTAGTTCCTCTTCAAACGGTGCTAGTAAAACTTCCTTATCATGGCAACAGGTTGTTAAATTTTGTATTTCACTTTAGGTACATTTGTTATTTATGTCGAGTGTGTTATAATGTTGCATTGATTTTATTGGATTTTAGGTGCAACAGTGGTTCAGAAATAGACAGAGAGTGACACAGGTTAAAGATAGCTCATCTCCCTGCCTGCTATCTCCTGATCATTCACATTCATTTCTTTTAGGAAGTGGAGATGGAAACTCTTCAAGTTCAAAAGGTTATCCCATCTTTCCGTTAGACTTTATCATGGCTATGAATTTGGAAAAGGAATAAAAAGGTCCCTAGATAGAATTGGGTAGTTTTTCCTCTGGTTTAAATTTTTTGTTTTCTGGAACTAAACCATTGGAACATTTTCTCATTCAAATTCACCATGAACTTAAAGTCATTTGCTTGAAGCCTTCAAAGTCTTATCACACTATCATTTCCTTTGGGGACAAAGGGTTCACTTGATTTAGGTTAAATGAGCATAGCACCAACAACAGAAGCTTAATATGTAGGGATAATGCTGCTATTCTCATTTGGCATGCGGTGTTATTTATTTAGATTCCATTTATACCCTATCTCTGTTAATAGTAGCATTCATTAATCATACTTTGCTGTGTGATTTTTCATTTCTTTTTATGTAAGTGGCATTATGCAGTTTCCAGTTTTATATTATATTTAACATGATATTATTACACCACATATTGACTAGAAGCAATATTATGCATGGTGTGAATAATTATTTTACTTTCATCAGTATTCTTCCTTTCAAATCGTGATTTTTTTATTACGGTTAATGGAAATAAACACCTCATGCAAGTGGCATAGTTCATACTTGACTGTGTTGTTTTATGTGGCTGGAGAAATTGTGAGGTCATGAATTTGTAGCATTCATATGTCATGTGAGGGTTGTTGACAGAATGAAAGAGACATGATGATGTGGATCCAAAAATAAAAATATTAAAAATAATGGTAATAGTATTGATAACAGTTGTATGAGGATTTGGATTAGTTTCAGCAAGCAATAGAATGCAGTGACGAGCAACGTAGAACTGATTAATAAATAATTGATGATTAGCAGTCATGTCCTTAGTTGGCTTTAAAAATTACATAGTGTAATTAGAATTTCTGTTCTTAACTTGCAGATCTCTCAGAGTTGGCATTTGAAGCAAGATCTACTAAAGATGTTGCATGGTAAGGAATAATCTAATTAGGCTGCAGCTGTTTTCTGAGTTTAGCCATAAAATGCATTGTATGAGAATTATAATCTGTGGTCTGATTTTTGTTTGTTTCATTCCAATCAGGAAATAAACTACCCCTAGATCCGTGTCCCCTCCATGGAAAGCCTTTATGAAAGATACCATTAGTAGTTAGTTAGGGTTCTGTCAGTGTGTTAGTGAGGAGTTAGTTCGTTTGGTTAGTTGGGCAGCTTGAGATAGTAGAACAAATAAGGCATATTGCCTATGAATAAAGAGGGGAAGGTTGAGAGAGAAATCATCTGTAATTTGAGAAAGAAATCAAAGAATTAGACTCTTAGAGAGTGGGTAAAGTCCTTGTCTCTTGAATATCCAGGGAAATCATTCATTTTGTATCTTGTACCCTAGCCTAAGGATGCTACTGCATTGCCATAGCAATTGGGATTTAGAGTTAATCAATAAAAATTTATTTAGAGAGTGGGTAAAGTCCTTGTCTCTTGAATATCCAGGGAAATCATTCATTTTGTATCTTGTACCCTAGCCTAAGGATGCTACTGCATTGCCATAGCAATTGGGATTTAGAGTTAATCAATAAAAATTTATTCTTTCCTTTAGATTCTGAACCAATTTTATCACTTTTTTGTTAGTTTGTTACATACTTTGTGCCCAACATCTGATTTTTCTTTTCAATTACAGGCATGATGTTGCAATGTTCCTTAACTATAGAGTTCTGAGCACAGGCGAACTCGTAAGATTCTTCTAATTTAAGTATTTTATGCTGTAAAGAAACCGAGATAATTTATACATCTTTATTATTTGTAATAAAAAGAGGAGTGATAGTTTGTTTCATGCCTGCCTCATTTTACCTAAAATATCTATCCATAAGTTGCTGCTCAATACTTGTTTGAATATTTATATAGTACATATAGACGGGATGTTATGATTATTTTCTAGGTTTGTACTTGCAATACTGGTTGTGTAGGAAGTTTTTTTCCCTTGCATCTAAAATTGTATTACAATACAACAAGAACAACCAAGCTTTTCCCCACCTAGTGACAGGTTTTTCATGATTAAACTGGTTACCCTTTGAATTTCTTTTATTGCTTCATAATTTTAGAAGCTAGGCTATTCCTTTTCCTCCCCACCCCCTATCTCCTGCTGCCCTTAAGTATAACTCAGCTAAAGGTAAGCAAGTTTTGGTGAAAATGATCTGATCCTTCACGCTTATGCTATTCCTCTCTTTTTTTTTTTCTTTTTTTTTTTTGTGGGGCGGGGGGAGAGGTTATTAGAAAATGATTTAGAAAATTCTTCCCACTAAAGTAAATGTTTCTTAAAAGCTGAAAGTTAGTTGTGATTTACTCAATACATAATGTTCCTGTAAGCTCTATAAAACTAAATCTCGTATACAATTGATTGCATTGCATGTTGTTGTTAGGCATATTTTCCTTTACTTCATTCAGAAAGACTGGAAAAGTCAGAAAACTGACTATGCAAATTATATTTATAATTTTATATACCTGTGAACATTGTAAGTTATCCTGCCATCTTGAAATAGCAGTACTGGCTTAGTGGATGCATTTTTTGGATACTGTGAGCAACCAATTAATGGATCTTGTCGCATACAATTTAGGAGGCCCGTGTAAGATATGCTGGATTTGGCAAAGAGCAGGATGAGTGGATGAATGTGAGAGAGGGGGTGCGGGAGAGATCTGTTCCGTTAGAACCTTCAGAGTGTCACAAGGTGAAGGATGGGCATCTTGTACTATGTTTTCTGGTAAGGGAACGCTAGTACCTGTTATTATGCTTCAATTTATCTACTCAATGTGTTTGTCGAGTATCCACATGGTTAAAATATCTGCAGAACTGGACTGCTCTTTAAACTTTTAGTGGTCGTGTTTCATAGATTTGATCACGATGGAATCAGTGATAACTAAATATATTTATTTTTAATATTGTATAATATATGAAGTAATAAAGTAGGGCAAAATCATAAGAAAATATTATATCATATGTGCATTGCAAGATAAAAAATCAATAATAATAAGCTAGATAATAAAAAATCGTGGGTAGACCTCATGCGGAAATTTTTAACTTGAAAGGTTTTTGGTTTAATAAAAAATAAAAAAAGATAACAAAAAAATAAATAACAAGCCACCAGTTTTGTATCTATTCTCCACCATTGAATTATCTGAATACCTGACCAGATTCACCAGTTTTTTCCTTGAAATCCGGTCAGGTTGTTCATAATCTACGAATATGACCAAATAGGCATTGATTGCTGCTCAAGAACTTCCTTAACTGTTGGAACTTATTAGGCCTTATTGTTTTTTTCGCAGGAAAGAGAAGATTATGCCCTCTATTGTGATGCTCGAGTTGTAAAAGTCCAGAGGAAGATACATGATCCAGAAGACTGTACGTGCACATTCATTGTCCGATTTGTCCATGACAACACTGAGGTGATCTTTGATTTATGTTCTTATGCCCCCAAACAATGACCATGTCATGAGCATTTATGCTATCAATTTTTTCTCCCGTTTTTGGTCCTTTGTTAGGTAAATCCTTATATTACCATTACCTGATGTTGTTTCATATGCCTATGTCAGGAAGGAGTTTCTTGGAAGAGGTTATGCTGTAGGCCTACACAAGAGGAACCTGCGGTCTACACAAATCCTGCCCTTAATTTCACCCTAAATCCCACCTTAAATCCCATAGAATCCTTGTGGGGATAAAAAGAGCCAACTTTGTTCGTATTTCCGTTACTTTTGGTTAATGTTTATTACAATGTAAGATGGTAAGATTTTGATCTGAAAAACAGCCAGGGAATTTGGAATGTCTTCTTTTATTGGTCTATTTTATTTATAATGTTATAAATATTAATTAAAATACCAAAACATTGAGTTAATTAAATATTACTATCATTTTCAATTAACAGTGCCATCATTACCGCGGCAATTCTTAACTCCTGCCAATGGCCACCCTGTATTTATTTGAGGCTTCAAATGGGCCGGATATTTTCATAGTTTTGATTGATTGGATTAGGGGTAAATTGAAGTTGGAACTAATAATTTTGATTGGATTTACTAAATTTTTTTTTTGCAATCCAAGTCAAATGGAATCAATTAACAATGGGTTGACAACAAATAATTTTTCTCAAAATATATTATTTTTTTAAAACATTTTTCTTTAAACAAAAAATATATTATTTTTTCAAAATTTAAATAAAAATTTATTATTAAAAGAGTATAAATAACATTCAAAACGTAAATAAAAAACTAATATAGAAAATATAAAATAAATGTAAACAATTATAATCTAATATTTGACATTAAAGTACTTCATCATTTAAAACTAAGGTAGTCATTTAAATGTAACTAAATTTTATAAGTTATAATTATAATCTATGTTGTCTTTACGAATTTCTTTTTCAACTTGGATGTCAAGCTGCAAATAATATATTAAGTAAAAATAAATGTCAGAAATTATTTAGTATTTAGTCTACAACTAAAATTTTAAAATTAAAAGTAATTCCACAACCTTTAGATGTATTAGTTGAGTTGAATCTAGGTCCAATACTAGCAACTGCACCATCATTTACATCCAATGATACAAGTTAAATACAATAGAACAACAATTCAATAAATACAAACCAATAAACAATATGAATAAAAAACATCGATTTTTATACCTAATTCAAACTTTTGCATTTGATCCATCACTTCTCGTAACTCAATCATGATGACTAGTCATTAGTCAATTTTGGAACAAATCAAAACCTCAACCATATTAGCCTTTAAGGAACTTTGAAATGAGTTAAGGACTCAATCTCCCTTGCTAAAAGCACTCTCAGATAATACACTAGATACTGGGACAACTAATATGTCTTTAGCCATGTGCTAAAAAACATAATATTTGAATGAGTTTCCTTTCCACCAAGATGTCAAATTCATCATTAGGATCAGAGTCTTCAATATCATATTCCAAGTACGCTTCCAATCATCACTGTTAGGACAACCCCTTCATTTGCAAGAGCTATCAAGCACTAATGATCTTCCTATTCAAGTCTTTTTAACGATTTTTCAAAAATTTCAGCAACCTCCAACATTAAATATCTGGAGTTCCACCTAGTTGATACATCAAGAGAAATAGAAACTTCACTAGTTATACTTGCCTCTTGTGCTGTTGTGCACACCTTTTGAAGGTAGCCAACCTAGATAGAGAGGACCTAACAATTTTACATGTAGCCGTTATTCTACTAATAGAGGGATCAATTTCTTTCAAATCATCACTTACAATCAAGTTCAAATCATGAGCAACACACCTCATATGCATTAACTTCGGCTAACAAAGTATTGTCATTCCAATCACTCATGCTTTTAATTAACTATAATATGGCTAAATTATTAACACTTGCATTATCAACAGTCACACAAAAAACGTTTGTAATACCCCAATCCAACAACCATTTCTCTAGGCTTTTTCCTAGTGTCACCTTTGTGATCAACAATACAACCAAATTGTAATTCTTTTTGTTTAATCTCCATTCAACATCAATATAATGAGCAATCACACACATTTAATTAATATTTTGAATTGAAAGCCAAGTATTAGTGGTGACAGAAACCATTTAATTATTTGCATACAATATAATTTTCAGTTTCTTTTTTCTCTTCTTGATACAATTGCATGCAATGTCATAATATTAAAATAATAATTATTATATTAATATAGTAATATCAATAATTTTAATTGGTTTGATTCTCAAACCATCCAATTTGTAAAATATAAATTCCTAATCTAAACTAATTAAGGTCAAATTTAATTTATCTGAATAAGATTTGATCTGATTAAAAAAATGAATCAACTTAGTTTAATTTGAATCATTAATTTTATTGAATTATTTAAACCGACAAACACCACTATTAAATATGATTAACTAAGTCAATTTTTTTATATATATCATACAACTCAATTAAAGTATTATTTTCAAATAACTATATAATTATATTTAAATTAAGACTTATTAAAAAAAATTAATGAGATAATTGTAATTAACTTTATGTTCACAATTTACAACTTATGTCTACTCAATAAAATTTGAATTAAATTTATAATTTTAACTCTACATTTAGTTCTTAACACCACTAAAATTTATAAATCCAAACCCATTAGGATTTCGCTCGAATTGGAATTGAAATTGTAAATTACAATTTAAATTTCGTCGTCCAAGAATACCTATATTGCAAGTACAACTAGACCAATGACTAATGAGGGATTATCAAATTGCCTATCCAGAATAACAAATTCAAGGCTGCATATATTTTTAACACTTGTAAATATTATAAATTTAATTTTAGTCTTCCAAATATTTAAATTATTCTGTATCACTCCTTATAGAAGAGTAACATACACTCAAGTATGTTATGTAGTTATGCCAATAGCATTCTAAGAAGACATGTACCTAATGACTATTTTAAATTTTTAAAAATTTATGAAGACCAAAACCAATAATTTAAAATAAAATTAACCATTTTTATAGAACGTAAATACATATTTTATCCATTCAAGTAATAGTGACAACTATACTACGGTTAGCTTAGAAGCTACTTTTTTTTTCTTAAATAGTATACCATGTTCAAACTTCATGGAAAAACTTTAACAAAAAGTTAATTTCATCCTGTTGTTGAGAATGTTCTTTGAGCATTGATTGTATTAAGTTTATTACATAATCTTATATAATAACTCAACAACTCTAACAAATTAAATGTGGAGTTTTTACTAACATGTTGATTATTATTTTGCTTTGTTTTTTCAAAGTTACACTATTTTTTTTATTTTAATCAAGTAACAGGTATGAAATACTATGAGTTTTATTGATAATTATTTTTTTTAAAATTGATTAACCACTTTTAATATATTTTTGAGTTTAACAAAAATTTTCATTGTGTGATCATTAGGAATTCAAGTTCAACTCACATAGACCAAATATATATGTGTTTGGTTTATCATTTGATCTCTATTCAGTAAATTTTTACATATTTTAATATATCAAACCGAGAAGTAACTCTTTTATCCTATTTGATTAAAAGCAAGTTATGTTTTCACAAACACAACCTATATGTTAGCTAAATTGTACTATTTTAGTGAGCCACTTACTATACTAAGAAAATTGAGAAAATAATAAAAACATAAATGTTAATTAGTTCTTTCCTTTTGGATTACACATTGAACATTTTTCTTCTATAACTTCTGTTGCTATGTTAAAAGTCATCAATTGCTTTGTACCATTGAAATATTTGATGTTACAAAATTGTGTTCAAGAGGCATTATTAGACTTTCCTTTCTTTTATATTTGTTTGTTTTATTGAATTAAAACTTAAAAGACATTTATACACCATTGCTATCAAATCAAATGTACATATTTTACATATATAAATCAAAAGTGAGTCTCGAGACATCTTGAACAATTTTTTCAAATTTCAAACAGTTTTTTTTCTTCTCTCTCTATCTATCCCACACTTTTATACAATGTGTTGTTTTAGACATTGTTTACGAAACTTTAATATAGTTTAACCTCAAATACATGAATTTAGATACATTATTATGTAAATCTTTAAAAATCAGATATTAAATTATATTAGAGCTCTACCAAAATTTGATTTCAAAGACACAATCTTAAAGAGGTAAATTATTAGGAATTTTTATTATTTGAAAAACAATTTTGCTGTAAAACAAATCATAACGTCAGTAAATGACATGTTTGAATATGTGTTTTCACTTACTTGATATGCTTCAGAATTAAATACCTTCTGCAATATTTTATTGTTTTCACAAAAATGGCGTCAGATTTGAGTTAATAACACCAAGACAAACACACCAAAGAAAATATAAAAAAAATTTCAATCTGTTTCATAAGATTATGAAATTGTTACCTTTTATTTTATATGAAAATTGTTATTTTAAAAGTAAGCATAGAATATTTCCTCTCCTTAATAACTTTTATAAGAATATAAATCCCATAAATTCAAAAATTGGATCTACCATATCAAATTATTTTAGAAGTTAGAGATTTATATTATAATATTTTATAATTAATAATTACTTGTATTTTTTAAAGTTACACAATAAATTAAAGTTATTTTTAGAAAATTAAATCATTTTTAAAATATATAAATTTGTAACCAGCTAAAATAATAAAATCAATGTCTTTAAATTTTTTAATAAAATTTTATTAAAAAAATCTACTTTCCCATTTGATACATGTTTAATCTTGATTTTCTAAATAAGAAACTTTAATACATCGTTCCAAAATTTTACAATTTAATAATTATAATTCTAACATCAAGTGAAATGACATGTTCAATAATGAATTTATTAAATAAAATAAATAAATTAAAGCTATATCATGGGTGAAAAAACAGTCTTTTTTTTCAATAAAAAATTAATATACAAATCCTGTAGATCATTTGAATAAGATGCAGGTATAAATCTAGTTATATATAAATTTTCAATCATGTCCCCAGTTGTTGTCTATATAATAATCCATTCACATAACAGCACTTAGCTAGTTCTTAGAACTTGAATTGGTTAAAAGGGTTCCTCAGGAGTGCAAGAGAAAATGGTGGACATGATTTGTTAAAAGGGTTCTCTTCTGAAGTTTAAGAGAAATTGGTGAGATTTTGCATGGTCTGATAGAGTGAGAACACTTGAAGAGTCTTTGTTTTGAAAAACATGTAGATGACTTAGATTTATATCATAAAATAACACAATTATTGTGAGACTCGTGTATTTTGAGATGTCTTTGTATTATTACACAATCTTTGTATTTGTATACTTTATTGGTACATCTTGTACTCTACTGAGTACGATTTAATAAGAATTTTATTTTGCAATTAAAAAAAAATCCATTCTCTCTTGATTCTATTGTTAGATGTTTTGTGAATCAAATTACGTCGTACCTATGTTGTTAGACACTAAACCTTAACTAGGTGATTGAAAAAATTTAGAGCCTCGTCCGTCTGCATAACCTTAACTAATCATTGACATAAAAAAATTCCACACGAATTCGGTTATTTTAGTTTCACTGGAGACATTGATACTGCTACATACAAATAATTAAAACTTTAGTCATCAAAATTTCTTGGGGCCTGGACCACTTGAAATATTCAGCGGATTGTGCTTCACAGCAGCCACGTTTGCAGGGTCAAGAAACTGTACGTCCGTAGCAAATAGAAGCAATGTAGAGGTTCTTTGCCCACTTCTCCTGTAAAACAAGGTATGATATGATCTGAGACCTTAATTAACAGAAATAACTATATGCATAAGAGTTTTAGAAAAGCTTTTTTACTAAATAAAAAGAGATTTTTTAAATACTGAAACTTTCAAAAACTCTTCTAAACTCGTGTATGCAAGCAGCTTCTAAGCAACAATGACAATAGTAGTATTGGCCACCTTTACGTGTGTGCTAGGAAAAGCAGATGTTCTAAGTGTTTCCTGAGTTTCATCCAAGGGTTTCCTCCTTGGCACACTCAGGACGAAAGCAGCTTGGTCCAGAGTTGCAGCAGTAGCAGTGATTCGATACCCGCAATCCCATCGCTTATGAATCCCTTCACTGGGATAGAGAAAATCTAGTTCGACCACCTGAAATTCATAAAAACATAAACGGAGACTGTTTTAGTATGAAATTGCATTGTTATGAACTGAACTACCGACAGATAATAGCTCAGTCTAACAATGACCTGGTCTGAAAATCCTGCACCACGAGACATAACGACTCCCCATCTCGTCCCTGATGTGGCCATTGCAGTCACATAAAAGCCCTCCCTCCACTTTTTGTTAATCCACTTGAAAGGAAATGAATCACTAACTTTGTATGATTGTTGCATATACTGTGTGCCTGGAGTCCAAGATAATAGTCAGCACAAAACAAAATTGAAAATTGCCAATGACATAGCCAATATATGCTTTAGAACTTACCCTTAGACATTACTACTAGCGAGCTCCCATTTGCAGCTCCAGCAATTGCGCTTATATAATAATTTTTTTCCCAGTGCTCCATGATCCATTCCTTCGAGTTAGCCAAAACCAAAAATCACCAATTAATAGGCATGCCTTGAAATTATATTCTAACAAATCTACAGACTACAATCACAGTAAGCAGAAAACACAATATAATGTCTATATACTTTCAGACACTTTCAAATAAGTTATTTATTATTGGATGAATTGTAAGTCTATTGGTAAGTGTGTTGCAAGCATGCCTTCTAAACAATCCTCAAATAGAAAACTGGGTAGAAATTTAGTAATTTACCTTATGGAGAAAAAGTGGTGAGAGTTCATAAACTTGGGCAGTGAAACCTGTCCCTGCATCCATGATTAAGGCCCATACATTCTGACACGAAGCAACACTGCTAATATATAAACCATCCTCATTTCCTTTCTCAATGTGCTGGGATAGCCTTCCATCTGATACATTGTAGTGATATCTACAATCCAAAACACAATCAGTCCTACTGCACAACTCCCTTAAATCAACAACTTCAAAACAGGATAATTTTTGGCATATAATTTCTGTGATTGAAACATAAAATCCAAAATCAAACATACAGTACTACAAAAACGCACAAGAGATTGTAGAACAGTTATGCTGTGTTGTTTACGCAGGAAAAGTGAAGGATCGACAGAGGACAGAACAGTTACAATCCTTCCCCCATTGGGTTTCAACATGAGACAGGAGTATGAATAAAAATGTGGGGCCCACAATTGCAGTAATCCCTCCATTTTGGAAGAGAAAAGAAACAGAAAACTGTTTCGTATAATAAAGGACTAAAATACCCTTATTTTTATATACTTCTCTTCTCTGTTTAGGATATTTATGGCCTTTTATGTACATGTTTTTTATCCTTTCCTTTCACTTTCTACATAGTCAAACAAGGGGAAGAATTTTTTTTGTCTTTCTTTACTACCAAACAGCCTATAAGATCATTCCACTTTCCTTTCCCTTTCTTCTCTAAACCAAACATATCATTAATCTTGAAGATGCGGAAATGAGTATATACCACCCCCAATGCATCACTTTAAAATGCCTGAAAAAATAGAATCATATAAATGACAACAAATTTCTTGACATATGGGTATATATACCTTTGTTTCATTGGTCTACGAGCATTGTAAACACTTATCCACTGGGATGCTGGCAATCCAATACGAATCTTCTTTTTGGGTTGTTCATCGTCCTCTTCTTCCATCACCAACCGGCCTCTCTTATGACCAATAAGCTTTAATCAAAGCAAAATTACCAATATCAAGTATCTTTACTAAAATCATTGAACACACATAAAAAGAACACAAGTACAAAGGGATAGCAAAATTGATACCTTTTGTGCACCCTCGGTATTAATTGGCCTAATATCTGGGTTTGGACCAACAATCCCATCAAATAGAGAAATGTATTTTGCATAGTTAGGCTCTTCATCAAACTTTAAGTTCACAACATGTTCAACAAACTGTTTAAAAGGTAGGGGACAAAAGCAACATAGGCTCTCTGGAGATGTTCCCATCTTCTTCTTGCAAACCAGAAATCCTTTGTTTTCTCCCTGAGAAAAATAGTTTTAACTGTTAACGACCAACCTTCAGAACATAAGAACAAAACTTAAGTTATTTTAATGTGTCCAACCTGGAACCCCTGCCAGGGAAGGCGACCTCGGAGAAGAAAAATCAGTGTATATGCAAGAGATTCCAAGTCATCCCTCCTGCTTCCAGTTCTTCCTAAATGTGCATGCACACTAGCATAGCGGACCGTGCCTCTGAACATTTTCCATACAAGTTAATACTAATACAGAAAACTGTATAAATAGATGTATGAACATTTTCTACATGATCCAAATTCAATTATAAATACCTGAAAACATCTGGCCTTTGGTCATATTCCACATGCAAGCCTGTTGTACTGTCCCTCCACTTTGTAGCTGTAAGCCAAAAATAGCAAAGGAAGTGAGTAATTGAATACCACCAAAATAAACAAATATAATAAATAAAAAAAATTAGTTGACAACTAAATCATACCTAATCCAAGATCTACAAGGAACAATCTTTTCTCGTCAGGTGTGCTAGGAGCACCGAGCAGAAAATTTTCGGGCTTTACATCCCCATGCACATACCTGCAATATAATGTAGCCACAGTTTGAAAAACATAGTTTTCATCTTTCAAGTATGTTGAAGCAAACGTGGTTTGTGTATGGAAATTATCTAGTGTGGGTGGTATGAAAATTACCCTCGAGAGTGCATTTTCTCCAAAATAGAGATTGCTTCAATGGCAATACAAGCAACCATTTCAGTGGACATGCTGGAATTCACAAAAACACATTAACAGGCCAACTGAGTCAAAATCAACTAAAAATAATACAATTTTATTCATATCTGACATAATTTCAAGTACTTACGTGTGAGAGTTATTATTCCAAACATCCCACAGGCTAGGTCCCAGCATATCCATAACCTACACATATGAATGTCTTAAGTCAAACAAACTTTAACCATGGCAACCTTAGAAAAAAAAAATATTGAATCATCATTTAAAATAATAGTCATAATAATGAACAAACACTCAAGAAAGAAGGCTCTACAACATACCATGACATAATAGTCACCCTGTCGGCCCTTGTAGTGTACTTGAGGCACACCATGACTGCCACCGAGAGTGCTGTATAAATAAGAGGGAAAAAGAAAAATAAATGAACCAGTGGCCTAAAGGAAAATACAGGGAAAATATAAAAAGGAGCAAGAATAGCACTCACTTGTACACTTGCCACTCGTAGGGTGGTCCGTAGGTACATCCTTTACTAGTTCTGTGCTCAAGTTTTAATGCAACCTGATCAAATAGTTTTAAAAAAATGTGAATTTTTTAAATTACAAAAATTTAAGTATTTAAAAATAAGAAATACTCTCTTCGGTCCTTATTATAAGGCACTTTTAACTGAATCACACATACAAAATCATGATTTATCAATTTTACCTTTCTTACTTATCATTAAATTTCCATGAGGTGAAGATATTACCTTGTGTGTAGGTTTATGCACCAATACCAATAAAAATGATAAATGACAATTGGAGAGTCTAAAAGCTGAGAGAGAGAAGCATATACTTTGACAATCTTTAATAGGAGCAAAAAATGAAAAATAAAATTAATATTTTATAGAAATTGTAAAATACCTACAAAAAGGACTAACAATTATTTCTAAATTGTGCATTATAATAAAGACTGGAGGAGGTAGCATAACTTATCATTCAACACTAAGAGGATACACATACCTCTACAGCTCCAGGTCCAGTTCTCTCATTCAAATTTCCACCTGTTGTACGTCGTCCAACATATACTTGACCAAATCCTCCCTTGCCAAGTTTTCTTTCTACTTTATACCAAGGGGAGTTACCTACTTGAATCTGTGAACAGAAGAAAACAAAATTAGGATACAAGTATCAACAGAACAAAAGTTATAATGCATGATTTTGCTTAATAATTTTCAAGATTAAATTAGGGCAACTGAACTTTTATAACAAAGAATTACATTTATTCATATCCATGACCGGAGAAATCTGAGAATATTAACAGGAAAAAGAAAACAATTCCTTGAAACCTCCGACAAGACTGATAAACAATTGCTTTTTTAATATCTATACTTTTTTTAAAAAATTTATTAATGTGACTTTTCAAACTGCTGGTATTACACAGCAAGCCGAACACATTCTTTGGTTTGCATCTACAGTCTCATTCCTACCTTTACTCTAAAATGCAAGGAAGTGCCATTGAACAAAAAATTCATAATAAAATATTCCTAGTGCAAAATCATATTTGTAAGACCATGAAATGTTGACTACTTTTAAGTGGTGCCAGCTAAATTTCAAGTAGAGTGATAGGTATTAGGTTGGGATGGGCATGATCACAAATATGAGACAAACGCATATCAACATACTAAATGATAAAATATTCACAATTCACTTGGTACTTGAAGTAGGATTGTTTCATATGTATATGGATAAATAGTATTAGCAGTGGATTCTTTCATAGGAAGGCTGGGTTGAGTGCGTGTAGAAACAAAACATACAAGCAACTGCACCGCTATTAGGGTGTTTGTTTCAGAATCAGTCTTAAATGTTACGCCCCAGTCTTGAATGTTACGCATGTTATACGAAAGTGACAATATACAGAAGCAACAACGTACAGCCTTTGATTATTTGAAGAAAATTGGCATGATTATGTGTGTATTGAACGTGTGACAACACACACCAATATGCGTTAAAAGAAAATCAAAACAGAAAGCCCACATCAACAACACACCCAAAATCTGTTTTATCAGAAACCAAAAAAGAATGATATGATAATTCTCATTCTCTGATCAAATACAACCTAGGAATTACTGCACAGAAACAAACATTGTCAACCATGACATCCACTCTCACGTGTACACTTCTACCAAGTGAAACAACAGAATGTCCAGTCAGTTTTCAAGAACCAACTCCTATCTGTGATCAAGGAGTCCATTTCTCAGGCAGATTCCTTACTTTAAAAAGCATCAGGATGTATCAAGCCTTTGCTCCACAAGCAAGGCCCAATCACAACAGCTAATAAGACACAGGAAAACCCTAGTACTGAAAAACCCTAATCATCGTTTCAATGATCTAACCCATAAAATGTTAGTGTCGGCCAAACTAAAACGCGCATTTTCAAAGACAATGATTTCCATATTTTCCTATCAGTGTTTCCAGCACAAAGCAGCAATATAAACAACACATAAACCTATACAAGAAACTAGCAAGATAACCATCCAATCACAAATAAAATGAGAATGAATAATGAATAATCAAGAAAGAAACCTTCTGAGGAATCTGAGGCGTATTCGGGTCATCTTCACCTGCATTGGCCTTATCATTGCTCCGGCCACCACTGGCATGCCCATCCATCACTTTCTCCGCTACCTCTTCCTTCTCCGCTCCACCACCCTCCAATACCCGATTCTCTTCTTCTTCCTTGGCCGCAACAACTACGTTCTCATTTACCACCACCACCTGGTGCGGTTGTTGCTGCTTGTTATTGTTATTGTTACTCTTAGGCAGGGGCACGGGCACTGGCACTGCCGCTGCCGCCGCCGCCGCACGCCTCCGGCGCGTCCTCGTCGCAATCGCCTCCCCCTCCACCACCGGACTCTGCTCCTGCTGGTGCCGCTGTTCTTGCTTCGCTGCTGCCCGGCCCCTGCGCGCTCCACTACGCAGCACCGGCATCGTTCATCCTTCAAATCCCATCCTCCAGCAAATTCCGACGAAGACCACAAAAACGATACTTCTGCCACTCGCAACCCCGATCAGAGACTGGCACGCGAAATCCACCTAAAACCCCGAAAAAGTCTTTCGGCGAACAATGAAAATCGCAAATAAACGCAAGGGAGCGGAATGTGCAAGGCTGAGAGGCTTCTGGATGGAGACGTAGGTTTGTAGAATCTGTGCGTGCGGTGATCGTGGCGGCTGAATTAGGGTTCCGAAAACGATCACAGAGAGAATGAAGAAGAAGAAGATGAAGAAGAAGAAGCCATAGCCAATAGCCAGAGGAAGAGAGAGAAAAAGGCTTTTGAGTACTTGCTGAGACACAGAACACGAGGTTTTTTATTTATAATTTATAATAATAATAATAATAATATCATTTTCATAACTACCAATTTATTTCATTATTCTTTTTTCTCTTTCAGGAAATTAATTCCATTACATTTTTATATCCATCCATCTCCACCATTGGACGGTTAGGCTTTTTTTTCATTTTAATCAAAATTTATATCTATTAATTAATTCGATTCTGTAGCACCGCTACATTGCACCATCGACCATCGTACTTCTGCTGGGGATGCTGAGTGCTCGCATCTCCACCGTTCATTCCTCGATTGTACGGTCTCGTGGGTCCCAAGTCAACTCAACGAGAATCAGATGGCTTTCAAATTTGACCGCGTTATTGGGCTTTATTCCTTTCTAAATAATTTAGGGGGCTTTTGGATTTGTCATCATAATTTTCCAACATCTATTCGTGTGATTCGAGTTGGCTTTCAAATAATAAGTAAAATTAACTACCAAAACTATACAACAAAAATTTATGATTAAATTATTATTTTCACTCTTTTATTCATACTTATTTTTATTATGTATTTTATATAACTTAAATTTATAAAAATAAATACTTTTAAATATATAAATTATGTTATGATTCACATTTATACAATAGATAAATATTTATGAATACGTAAATTATATTTTATATTTAAGATTAATAATTCGAACTATAATATAACAAATTTTTTAATTGTTAATAACTTTTAAAATATTCAAATATGATTTAAAAATGAAAATGAAAATGATTTGTTAAAATTGGTGCTTATAGACTAAATTTTTAAGTTTTGTTGAATAATAATTTCTAACAAATACAGATTTATTTTTGTCAAAGAGAAAACTCATTCAAGATCTTTCAATTTATAAATATAGAATATTAATATATTATTCAATTTCGTATCTATTTTTAAATTATTTAACTTGATAAATATAAAAAAGATATTTTACAATTGGTAAGGAGTTACATATTTTTTTTCTTAAAAGTGGTTTTCGTTAAATAATAAGTTTTAAACTAATTCAAGATTATTGAATTAGGTATCCATTTTAAAGATATTTAATTAGATATTTTGATTGTTAAAAAATGTGTAATCATATTAATGAAATCGGAAAAAGTATCAATTTCACACTTCATAACAATTTTAAGCGGTCGGTAAGTGGTTTTCATTTTCACATAACGCCAATTTTAAAACAGTCACTGTAATTATTTTTTATTGTTATATTTTTTACATGTGTGATATTAATCATGTTGTGGATATTATTATTATTTAAAATCTTTAAAAATTATTATATTTTTATAAATAACTTACATTATATTTATATATTTATAGAATATAAAGTTAAATCAATGTTAATATAATAACCTAGATTGATATAATAAAATATATTTTTATTAACTTAAAGTAAAAACAATAATTTAAAATTTATATAACTATTAACAAAATATATTGTAATTATTAAATAAAAAGGATGTTATTAGTATTATCATTTAAAATTTTATAAAAATTTATGTTTTATATTTATAAATTTATTATATTCTATAATGTGTAATAAAGTTATATAATAAAAGAATCTCACAAAAAAAAGTAAATATAAAACATAATTAAAAAATATCAACACAACGGAAGAGTAAGGTTCTATACTTGTTGATTTTAAATAAATAAATATAATAATTTAATATTAATATTAACACATTAATATAATATAGTAGTATTATTAAAATAAATATTTAATATATTCATTAAATTAATATCAATATGTTTTTAAAATATTTATATTTGACTGATATCATCAGGTCTAAAATATCTAATTTAAAATTTCTATCAATATTATTTTAATATGAATATAATATAGTAATATTATAAAAATTAATTACAGTAGTAAATTAACATCGACATGTTATTGACATATTTACATTTGACTGATATAAGGTATAAATATTTAATTTAAAACTTATATAAATATAAATAATAAATTAATATAAAATATTTAATATATATTTAATTTATATCAATAAATAGTTTTGAAATTTAATATATAAATATTAATTTAATTTAACATATTTAATATATAATTAGTTTAAATTTATATTGTATATTTGAGTAAATTATGATATCCTCTCCTAAAAGATAAAGATAAGGGTATTACATTATTATTCTCTCCTATGTTAAAATATATAATTTGATTTATTTAACTTAACAACGTTAAGTAAATTACACTCCTCTCTTGTAAGAAATGTAAGTATTACATTATCTTTCTTTTATATGTTAAAATATAGAGAAAATTATGCTTTTATTTCTTAGAAATAAGGGTATTGTACCTTCACTCTTTAATTATATTAAATATATAATTTAATATCTAAAAAAAATATTATAAAATTTTAATATTTTTACTTCAATATCATTTATTCACTTTATTTTTTTTTACAACCTCATTTATTAACTTGATTAAAAAATTATAAAATATATAAATAAATTTAATGTTATTTTGTTGAAATAATAAATAAATTAAAATTTGATGTAAAATAATAAATTTTAATTGATTCAACCATTATATTTAATTATATTATACTCATAATAATGCATATCAAATTTTAAATGATTTGAAATCTTTCGAATATATTATCTAATAATATATATTTATATATATTTTAAATATCATTTTATATGTTAAAATAAAGAAATATAATATAATTATTAAATAACTTAATAATTATATATAATTTTGTATATATAATTTAATTTAAAATATTATTAAATATAATAATTAAATTTGAGTTATAAAAAATATTTAAAGTGTCATTTTACTAATTTAATATTATAATGTCAATTGATATGAAAAAAGAAAAAAAGAAAGAAAAAAAATATATATATATATATAAACATAAAAAGTAAACAAAAATGTGAAAAAGTGGATTTGATGCTATAATAATTACGAATAATGTTCCTCTAAAAAAAAAATTACGAATAATGTTAGTAAGTTGTGACACTATTTTTAATCTCTCTTTACACTCCTGCAATTGATTTCATATGGCCTCCATTCTCACCGTTTTTACCTCCTCTGACTCCATCACCATAGCATTCGATGTTGTTTGAAAGCAAAATTACCATTGCAACATAATTAATAGGGTGGTGTCTAATAAATTTTACATCTAAGGAAAAAAAAATATTTATGTTTTAATCTTATTTAATTAAATTTTTTTATTTTTAATTAATAAAATTGTTAATTAAATGTAAATTTTATAATTAAGAAGTTTCAACATCTAATGGTAATTAATTCAATTATTATTTTGCAGTGAACTCAAATATATTATATATATTTCATAAATTAATTTTTAAATACATTTAATATTTATAATGAAACACTAATTTGTTTTGTTAGTTATTTTTAAAATTTTTAAATTAGAGGAAAAAATTCATCATCACTAAAATTAAGACAATATTTTTTAAAAAATCTTATTTATTGAAATTCAAATATTTTTTTAAAGTGATTTCATATTTAAAATCTTTTATAATATGTGTGAATATAATAAAATAAAAATAATTTAATATTTAATACAAAATAATTAAAACTATAAAATATTTTTTTAGAAGAACCAAATTAACATAATATTCTTATCATCTTATCACTATTATTTTCGTTAATTTATATATATATACCATATTATTTTTATATAAATTAATTCTTATATTCATTTTAATGTCATTTTTTTATTAAAATTTAAAATAAATATAAAAATAACTTTTAAATTATAATAAAATTTTAAAAATTAATAATCTTATTATAATATTAATGTGTTTATATATAAATTTTAAATAAATATATGATGTCATGCATTAACTAATTAATCATCATATAATAAAATATATTACTTCATTATTTAATTTAAAAGAAATATATTAAAAAAAATCCGGTTCAGGGTCTAAGGCAAATGGTCTTAATGATATTGTCTTAGTGCGTGTTTGGTAATACGTTTGGAATCCACATTTTTCCCTATTTTCACGTTATAACGCAGCAAAAGCAACTAATAGTTGCTTCTCAAAATCACGTCCAAGTTTTCAAACGTAAACAGATTATTAGTCACGCGAACTAAACACAATCTTATGTATGACACTATATTTTATAAAAGTGGATCTGACAAAAGGAGTTACACTTCATTATTGATTAAATAAATTTGGCTGATGCAGATTAAAATATAATCCTTCTAAGCATTTAGTCTTGATAGATGTTACTATCGACAATTGTTGCAAAATGTATCAGCCAGTAACTTAGATGTAGGCATTAAAAACTCCATAGTTATAACTTAATTCTGATACCATCTATCGTCAGTGCAGTGCACACTTTAAATTGATTTCTTGTTTTGGTGGGTTCAAACTAAGGTCGAAGTTGAATGTTTGAAGTCCCTTGCAAAAAGTAAAGCCTTGTGAATTTCTATTCAATAAGCTTATCTATGTTGGAGATTACGAGCTTAATGCATTCTATTAGGTCGCCTATGCCACAACTCTGGTCCCTCTATCTAGAATAGAGCTTGTACTATGTTCGGTACTTTTGTTTGGAACAAATTAAGTGTCCAAATCAATTACCTTAAACCATGTACTTTTAGTTATACGCTCTGCTTTTAAGTTCATGATGTAGTGTCACTAACCAAATCAATTAGCTGGAACTTACACTGATATGTTTATTGTTGTCCATTTTTCTATGTTGATTATTGCAACATACTCACATTGTGCAATGAACATGGACAGATACAAACTCAACAGACAATCAATAATGTAAGTCAATACTAATTCATATGTACTTCATCCAAGATTCCCTAACCTCTAAGTTCTAACACTTTGAATTAGATTGAATCTGGTGTTCATTTTTTGTTGATCAAATAATTTCTTTCAAATACAAGGTGTTTTGAAAATTTTGTAGAATATAATGGGCTGTTAGCCAATCTCAGTGAAACCAAAAACAAACTGAACTGGAATTTATTCAGTATGAATCACAGAGTTGAGTAGTTTTGTTTTAAAATAAAACAAGTGTTAGTATTAATCAGTATTCTTAAGACTAATACGAAAATTCAAATAAATAAAAAAATTTATTATATCCAAAAATAGAAATCATTTAATCCTTTTTGTGTTATGTAATCATGGCTAGTTTGCACCTACAAGAATTTTAATTAGCAATGTTTTTCATATATTGGATGTGTTTAGTAAAATTAATTTATAAATTCATAGTTAAAATTTTGAAATTTATAAGTTAAGTAATTGAATTGAAAGTTTTGATAAATTAATAAGTTAGTCAAATAATTTAAAATATCATAATTAATTACTTCAGATAACAAAAGATTTTAGATAAATTAATAAGGATAAAAATAGAAATAAAAAAGTAACTTATAAACTAACTTATCATCATAGTCCACTTCATATAGCTGATTGAATTCAAATTTTGAAAATTTTAGAGGAATTAAAACATATTTTGCTCCTAGAATTTTATACATGTATTCCATATGATCAATATTTTTTTTATACAATTAATTATAACATAAATAAACATATTTGAATATATAAATCATATTATAAATTTACAATGATTAATTGAATTTTTTTTTGTTACATAAATTAACTACACCACTCCTCCTATTTATAAAGGTAATGCTTATCAAAAAAAATGAGAAAAAAAATAAGGTAACGAAAAAGACCAAAAAAAAATAATTATAGATTATACAAGTTGTAAATGAAATTAATATATACTATTATTTTCAAATATAATCATCGATTGCTGCGTGTTTGATGAGAGATGGTGATTAATAATTAAAATAAACAAAGTAAATTGCAAAAACAATTTCAATAGCCCGTCTAGCTCAGTCGGTAGAGCGCAAGGCTCTTAACCTTGTGGTCGTGGGTTCGAGCCCCACGGTGGGCGTTTTTATATTTGTTGGATTTTATCTCAATTCTCGACCTTTTGATCTTTTCTTCAAGAAGAAAGGCCCATATTCATGGGTCATTAACAAGGAGACAGGCCCATATAGTCAAATGCTTTGATGATCATGATCATTCCTTACAGCCCAATACTAATTGGGTAAGCCTTTTTCATATATATATATATATTTTTCTTTAAAACCGAGGAAATTATATACATTATTCTAAAAGATGTTACTTCCATTATTCTAAAATTATTTACATTTTATAAAGTTTAATTAATTATTTTCTCCTTATATCATTAATTAACAATTATTATTATAATTATTTCAAAACAACCAAATTTGATCTTCACGAAAAATAGTACAGATGAAATCTATTTTAGAAGCATATGAATAACAAAATCAAATTACATTTGTATCTTACATTAGATAAAAATATTTTAAATTAAATATAATAATATTTATACTTATTAAACATTTCTTAATCTATTTCAAAAAGGAAGTATTATTGGATATCTTTACAAATAACTCTTCAAAAAAAAACAAAATTGAACACTTTAATTTTACTTAGATCATTGAATTAATGATTTGCGCAGAACATGCGAGCAGTTTTTAAGGGTGTAGTTTGAATATGTATGCTAATTTTTGAAAGTGTTGAGGAAATTGGTAACAGAGTGTATTGAAAACATGTTTCTCATGCGCTGTTGAATTACTTATATTTTGATATTTGATAGTGGGCAAAGGAGGGGAAACCTTAGCATCAAAGAAACCCACTTTTTCCTCATTCAATTCAACCCTCCAACTCACTTTCTACTGCCTTTTTCAGGTAAGGAGACTCAATATGAAAACTAATTATATAAATCACATCATTTTTAATCTTATTTATATTTTGAGGTGGTTAATGAGAGTGTTGTTGGTCAATATTGTATCACTAGATGTCACATAATTTCATTTTTCAAAAATAACTTAAAAGTGAAGTCAAGCCGTGTATATTAACGATACTTGTTCTAATTAATTTAAAATAAGTGATGTTGTAAAAACTGAAGATCAATTTCTTTTTAATAATTCATGTCGTTATCTTCAAATAGAAGACTAACTTTTTGTAATCTTAATTTCTTTAGTGTCGTTGTTTCTAATAAAAAAAATTATATTATTTTTTTAATGTCGACGTTGTTTCTAAAAGAGGAATTCTATTCTTTTTTTATATATATGTGTACCGTGGTGGTCTCCCATTGGCCGACCAGATTGGCCGACCTAGGCACGTCAGTAAAATACCGATCTAACATGCTCTTCGCACCTTAGTGCTCGAGCATGGAGGGCTATGTACCGTGGTGGTCTCCCATTGGCCGACCAGATTGGCCAACCAGAGGCAGGTCGGTAAAATGCCGATCACACAAGAAGGACCCAAATATGGGGAGATTAATTGGCTCACTCGGACAATCAATAAGATCCCACGATCCGTGGGAATGGTAATAAATACCGGGAGTTACGAGTCCATAATGGGGCGTGATTTATGGGATCATAAGTGCGATTCATGTCTATAACGCTACACCGTTATATATAGCAATGATTAGGTCTAAGGCGGCAGATTACTCTCATCGAATGTTCTAGGTCAAGACTGCTGTCAAGTTCTTTAGCTCCGTATCGCTAAGGGTTCTTCGGCGGCGGTCTCCAATACCGGAACATTTTGGCGCCCACCGTGGGGCAGGTAAAACTGCATCCCACACCTTGGTTGCCTTGTGTGATCGGAAGGTCACGATGCATAGGTTACTAAGGAGCAATAAAAACTATCGAGAAAGAAGAGGCATAAGTATGATCGAGGTTAACCAAAAGGCGTCAAGGAGATGCCATGAGGATTTCTGAGTTGGGTATTTGACGGTAACAAACGAAAGGAAAAAGGTTTCCGCGGCGGAAGGTTGTGTTGGAGTGCATAGAGAGAAGCATGGGAAGTAGATCGGGAAGAAGAGTAGTGCAGTTCGCGAACCTACCGATAAAGCCTCTAATGCCCAACAGCTTCACCAACATCCGCGAAATCGCCCTCAAGACCATCCCTTCCGCCACCAATATCGAGATCAAGCGCGTCCTCGAGTCCCTCTACGGCTTCGAGGTCGAAAAGGTTCGAACCCTAAACATGGACGAAAAAAAGAAGAAGCGCGGTGGCTTGTTGATCACCAAACCCGATTACAAGAAGGCCTACGTCACCCTCAGGAGCCCGCTCTCAATCTCCACGAATCTCTACCCGATCCGAATCATTGAAGATGACAAGATGAGGATGAGCAAGCAAACCAAGCCCAACGTCGTCGAAGAAGAGGCCCACGTCACCACTCACTGGCTCGATCATAAGAAGGAGGCCCAACAACCCTTCGGGGCCCGCAACAACCGTCCACGTTTGGGCCGCCCCGAGGCTGCTGCTATCGCTAAGTTTCCCTGGTCCAACATGAGGTTTGCTAGTGGTTCCACTAGTGAAATAAACACATTTACTCTTTGAGGTGCTATGATATTATGAATTATTCATGGGATGGTGTTTAACGAAATGAATACTGAAAAGTGAAGATAAAGTATCCGCAACTCTGGATTTTGTTTGTTCTGAGAAGTAAAATAACTTGTTTTTCATTTGTGATTGTTGCTATGCATTCTTCTTAACACATTTGATAATTACATATATCTCTTGGATAAAGGTAGTGGTAGAAACTTGGAGACTCAATTGCCACTGTGCTAACAACTTATAATTCTAAATTATTAGTGAAAGCATTTAGAACTTAATATTTGCTTATTTGATTATCCCTCCTCCCTTGTTTTCAAGTTTATCTCAAGCATGGAGGGCTATGTACCTTGGCGTGAAGAGCGCTTTAAGGTCGGCATTCTCAACAATATATACCTTGGCATGAAGAGCGCTTTAAGGTCGGCATTTTCAACAATCTATACCTTGGCGTGAAGAGCGCTTTAAGGTCGGCATTTTCAACAATCTACACCATGGCATGAAGAGCGCTTTAAGGTCGGCATTACCAACAATCTACAACCTTGGCGTGAAGAGCGCTTTAAGGTCGGCATTCTCAACAATCTATACCTAGGTGTGAAAAGTGCTTTAAGGTCGGAATTTTTACAATCTATACCTTGGCGTGAAAAGCGCTTTAAGGTCAGAATTTTTACGACCTATACCTTGGCGTGAAGAGCGCTTTAAGGTCGGCATTCTCAACAATCTATACCTAGGTGTGAAAAGTGCTTTAAGGTCGGAATTTTTACAATCTATACCTTGGCGTGAAGAGCGCTTTAAGGTCGGCATTCTCAACAATCTATACCTAGGTGTGAAAAGTGCTTTAAGGTCGGAATTTTTACAATCTATACCTTGGCGTGAAGAGCGCTTTAAGGTCGGCATTCTCAACAATCTATACCTAGGTGTGAAAAGTGCTTTAAGGTCGGAATTTTTACAATCTATACCTTGGCGTGAAGAGCGCTTTAAGGTCGGCATTCTCAACAATCTATACCTAGGTGTGAAAAGTGCTTTAAGGTCGGAATTTTTACAATCTATACCTTGGCGTGAAGAGCGCTTTAAGGTCGGCATTCTCAACAATCTATACCTAGGTGTGAAAAGTGCTTTAAGGTCGGAATTTTTACAATCTATACCTTGGCGTGAAGAGCGCTTTAAGGTCGGCATTCTCAACAATCTATACCTAGGTGTGAAAAGTGCTTTAAGGTCGGAATTTTTACAATCTATACCTTGGCGTGAAGAGCGCTTTAAGGTCGGCATTCTCAACAATCTATACCTAGGTGTGAAAAGTGCTTTAAGGTCGGAATTTTTACAATCTATACCTTGGCGTGAAGAGCGCTTTAAGGTCGGCATTCTCAACAATCTATACCTAGGTGTGAAAAGTGCTTTAAGGTCGGAATTTTTACAATCTATACCTTGGCGTGAAGAGCGCTTTAAGGTCGGCATTCTCAACAATCTATACCTAGGTGTGAAAAGTGCTTTAAGGTCGGAATTTTTACAATCTATACCTTGGCGTGAAGAGCGCCTTAAGGTCGGACTTTTTACGATCAAGACCATGGTGTGAAGAGCACTTTAAGGTCGACATATAAGTGCGATTCATGTCTATAACGCTACACCGTTATATATAGCAATGATTAGGTCTAAGGCGGCAGATGACTTTTATTGAATGTTCTAGGTCAAGACTGCTGTCAAGTTCTTTAGCTCGGTATCGCTAAGGGTTCTTCGACGGCGATCTCCAATACTGGAACAATATGTAATACCACTATTTCCAATAAAAGAACTTTTTTTTTTTTTTTAGAATGTGGCAACATGCATATATCGATTTACAAAATGATGCTACTAGCTAGCAGCCATTGATTTGATGCAAGAATGGATAGCATGGCATGCATTGGACGACTGCATGCATTTGAATTGCATTAAGTATTTTTTTTCTTCAGTATTTGCCATTGTACCGTGTAACAGCACATGATGCACAGGCTAACATTTTAATTAAGTAATTTTTTTGTTTTATTGATACAATTTATATTAAGTAAAAAGATATTAATTTTAATAAATATGTAATAATTTATTAAATTAAACATATTATATAATGTTATTTAAATTTAAAATTTTAAGTTACAAATATTTTATAATGCATTCATTTATTTTTGGTTTAAATTTATTTAATTATTGTGGATTTAATTATACATATAACTTATTCAATTGTAATTAATAAATAAATCTATAATCATCTATATAATTTAACATAACCAATTTAAATAAAACTAAAAAAATGCAAATATATCTAATACATAAAAAATTATTTATTATTAAAAAACATAACATTATGGATCACATAAGTTAGTTCATGAATCATCATCACACATACTTTCATGTAAGCAAACAATAATTTTCTCTAGAGTTCGTGATAGACATAAACATCACAAAATATCTTATATAGTTCGCTTAATCTTAGCATATAATTCAATCAAACATACTTTATAAAATTCTCTACATACAAAAGACATGTATTCTACATCATGAATTGAAGAGAACAATAATCAACACGATCATCTTAGCTTCTTGATAATAAATTAGATGTCAATAATGAAGTTCTTTTATATTGTCAACACTTTTTACTCCACTATTTGAAAAAATAAAATTTAAATAATATTATTAATTATTTTTAATTAATATAATAAAAATTTAATAAGTTATTATTAAACAATATAATAAAAATTAAAATAATTAAATAAATTTAAATTAAAAAAATTACTAACTAGTCCAAGTGGTGTCACCAACAAATAATTTTTAAAAAAAGCCCCCTTACTGAAGATAGGGACACTATATATTAAAAAAAAAATAATAGAGTCCCTCTTTTAGGGACTAGCTAGGACATTAGAAAAAAAATAATAATATAAAAAAATTTCATTGGGGACAACGATTATAACAGTAATAAAAAAAATTTCAAAATTTAGTCTCCCATTCAGGGATAACGACACCAATTATCGATTCTCACTTAGAAACACCAACACTTGTTTTAAATTAATTAAAACAAGTGTTGTTATACTTCGAAGTATTAATCGTTATTAAAATGTTATTTATCATGAAGAGGTGGGATATTGGGATGTCAAGGGTTGCGGCCCATTCTCTATAGAGTGTGATTGTTCTCACTCCTTGTTTATTTTTTGTGTGTCTCTTGTATATTTAGTAAAAGAGGATCCTCAGTCTTGAGAGGAACAGGGAGAGATCTAGGTGTGGTTGTGGAGAGTCTAATGCTAATGTAATACCAGGGCTTGAAAGTAGTTTACGAATTTTGTTATCTCTTTGATTTAAGTCTAGTACATTTGAGTTGTAATTTGATTTTTTTTTTACTTTTATTGTTTATTCTTTCGATGAACTGGGTTATTTATTTATAAGCTTAAATGAGGATGAGTTGAGACATTATGAACTATTTTTATGAAATTAATTGATACTCATTCTTGGAGGTAGATGAGTGTCACAAGTCGCCCCAAATTATGGGATTGCTTTTTTGCTACCGAAGTTTGGAAGAGGGTTTTTAGAAACTATGTTGGAGTGCAATTTTTTAGTGAATCCTTGCATGTATGGCTACATAAGAATCTGATTAAGATGGGTTCCTAGCCAATGAACTAGAGTTGTCGTTTTTTCATTACCCTTGATTCTATTTTGCATAGACATAACAAGTTTATATTTCAAAAATTACAAGTTTCATCATATTAACTAGTAGCGAAAATAATTGCAAGAGTGATTGCTATTATGAATGGTTTTATTTTGGAGGGTCAGGGGGTTCAATATCTAGGTTTGATTGATTGATCTCTAGATTTAGTGGAAGTGTCCTCCTATGGGTCATGTAATCTTAATTGTGATGGGACAGTCACTAAAAGAAGTGAAGCTTCTTGTGGTGGAATGATTTGTGATGACTTGGGGAGATTCGTAGTTGGTTACACTTGTTGCCTAGGAAGTTGTTTGATTATTCAAACAAAACTTTAGGTCAATTTTCTTGGTTTATGAATAGTCCAAGGTAGAAGGTGTAACAGCCCAAGCAACTCGCATGTGGATATTGTCCGCTTTGGCCCACGGCCTCACGGTCAACGCCTCTGAGATTTATAAGTTGATAACGCAACTTGATTCACCAACACACACTGCAGATGGTATGTATATATATATATATATATTACATAGGTTATCTGCTTGGTTATGATTAAAATAATGAATGTGTTATGTTATATACTTGTTGCAACATGCATGTTTTAGTTGGTGCTATTGTGGACATCAAAAGTACGTACCAGATCTCTAGATTGAATTGGCAAGGAGACCCATGTGTTCCAAAGCAATATGCATGGGAGGGTCTCATATGCAGCTTCTCCGCCACCATTCCAAGGATAACATCTTTGTGAGTACAAATTAAACTTCTTCTAATAATCTACTCTCAAGTGAAAAAAGGATATTTGGAAACTTCTGAGTCAAGAGGCTGGTGTCTGTACGGAGAGAGATAAGAAAAGAAGAAAAATTAGTGATTAATATAATTAATGATGGGTGCAAAAGAAAAAGAGAAATAAAGAGGAATTCAAATTAGAAAAATTCTACGTACCATTATAATCGTGGAGTACCGAAACAGTTATTTTATTTTTATTTTTTTTATTGTACTTACTTGTTTTATTTTTATTTTAATTTAATATTTTTAATAATTTATCTGTATAAATTTTTTTTATATCTTTATATTATTTTTATATTTTTTAATTTATATGTTTGCCATCAGGTACTTCATGCATTGCGTGTTTTAAATATATAACTGAAAAATACTTCTAAATATTTGTATTTCTTAACATAGTTTTTAGAAGTAAAATTGTTCAAGTTTTATTTGATATAAACTATTTCAAATGATAGATTAAATAATTTTTTCTTTCTATATATTGATGGTGAAATATAAGAAATAATTACTTGTAAAATATATTAAACTAAATATTAAATACAAATTGTTCACCAAAGTAAAGTATAATAACTTAGTCGTTCCAAACTCTTGTATCATATATATAATTGCCAATAATGACTGAAACAAGAAATTGTTTCCTTTTGTTTCTTCCTCCACGAAAGTTCATTCTTTAGGTACAAAGATGACGTGTATGATCGGACATGGCGGCATAACCTGGACGGTATGAAGGATTGGTATAGCTTGGATATGAAATCTGTTAACTTTGACAATGGAAGCAGTGATTACAAGTTGCCATCCCAAGTACTGAGAACTGCGGTCCAAACGCGGAATGTCTCGAAGCCATTACAATTTGACTTTGACAATGTCTTTTTCGAGCCATTGGACAAGCCTTTTGAGTACTTCATCTACTTTCACTTCGCTGAAATTGAGCAACTTCCACGTGGACAAAAGAGAGTCATCGATATCACCCTTGAATTTGAACCCATCCTCTCACACCCTTTGGTTCTTGAATACCTCAAGCCAGTCACCGTTAGTCCTCAGAAAACAACTCGGGGCTTTGTTTCATTTAACATTACTGCCACGTCAGAATCGGATGCTCCACCTATCCTCAACGCCTTTGAGATTTATAAGTTGATAACGCAACTTGATTCACCAACACACACTGCAGATGGTATGTATATATATATATATATATTACATAGGTTATCTGCTTGGTTATGATTAAAATAATGAATGTGTTATGTTATATACTTGTTGCAACATGCATGTTTTAGTTGGCTTAGTGAAAGGATTTTGATCAAATTTGACTTGTCTTTAACTGTGAAACACATCGATGAAAGTTGCCTTAGATCACATCCCTATTTTAATATTGTCAAAGAAGTATCAAGATTAGTTCACTAGGAGCATATTTTATCTTGTAATCATATTGTTTGGAAAACTAACCGTATTTGTTGATTCAAGTTTAAGTTACCTATAAAAGAAGAGTTGAAGATTTTTTATTCTTCTCCTTATTCTATTCAAGTTATATTACTTATAGTTAGGTTTGCTTCTTCTTTTATTAGAGGATTCAGACGGTTTTTAGCCCTCTTGCTCACAAAAAAAAAATATTAAGAATGTATTTAGTAAAACTAATCCAGTTAGAGCTTATAAACTATAAGTTATGGACTAAAAAACAAATTTTATAAACTAACTAATTGGATTAATTTTTTTTAATAAAATTAACTAATAATTTATATGATAAATGTAAAAGAACATAACAAACATATTTAATTATTTGAATTAAAAAAAATCAAGATAAAAATGAAAAAAAAAAAGTATTTATAAGATAATTTATTTCATAAACTACTTCAATTACTTTATCTAAATAAATTAAAACTACTAAAATAAATTTCCATAAAAGAAAAAGATAAAGCTAACTTATATCCTTTTAAATACACTCTGAATAAAAAATAAGCATATCTATTTATCAACACGATCTTAAATATTGAGTTTAATAAATTAATGTCAATTTCAATATTAAATAACCTAATTTATTTTTTATTCATTAAAATTATAATAATGAAATTAAGATTTAAATTTAAGATA